GGACAGTAGTATCTGTAGTGGTATCTATATTGCCATGAGGAGTGACATGCTTTCAGATTCCCGAATGTAGCCTAATGATCTTCAACTGTGGGATGCAAACTGTGGGAATTTCTGATGCTGGAATCTCAAGATGCACATTTCTCAAAATCATTCAATTTTTTCAACAGTTGTGGTTAAATGTCACTAAAAAAAGAGAGAGAAGATGGAAATATATGTTAGATGGTTCATCTAACATATATTTTAATGCATTTTTCATTAAATATATATATCTATATATATATAGATATATATATACATATACACTGTGCTGTAATTGTTTCTCTGGCAGTCTCTCTTCAGAGAGACCATTTAATGACCATCACCAGTTAATGCTGCTGCTGGTCATGGATTTATTCAAAGGCTAAGCAGTGTGCCATCGGTCATCATCTCTTTTTCTTTTTTCTGTCTCTGTTTTCCTCTCTGTATGTTGCAGTCTCCCTCGAGGCTGGTAAAGTTTGAAAGTCAGCACAGCTCTGACATGTCCCTAGAGGAGAGAATGATGCAGGGTGTAGGGACTGGCACTCACTCAGCATTTCAGTGACTGTAGAGGTCCCAGTGCTATCCATCTATGCCATATCATCTCAGCTACAGCTCATATCTAACATTCGTTTTTTGAAAGGTAGGCCCTGGTCCAGAGACAGATGCAATCATTTGACCAAATATGGAAGTCTATTTATACAAGTGATGAGCCCCAGGCTTTGGCTCTCAGTCGATAAAGCAAAAGGAGCCAAAACCCTAACCCCATTCCAATATGATCCTCCTGTAATGGATGAAGCCTTACACATTAAGTCGTTATATGAGGATCGACATGTTGAGAGTGTTAATATAGAAATAGCTGTAACCTAAGCTTTGATTGGTTTTTAAATTTTGCTACTCAACTGGCTGCTAGTTGTACAAGTGATTATTAAATTACAGGAAATAACCAAAAACTCAAAAATGTTGTACCACTTTGTATTATATCAGGAAGTCCTACATATTGAGCTTTTGTGTTGGATTTGCTTATTATGTTGAGACTCAAATTCATAGTCCTGTAACAATCCTTTTAATAGTTTCTTAACATATTTTTTCTGCGCTGCTCAGGCTCTACATGTTGGATAACCCCATTTGTAATTCGATTTTGTACCTTTGCAATTGATGTGTAAGTGGTATGTTGTACTGCACTAGGACAGAAAAACCCTAATTTTATTAAATATCAAATGACCAGTCTTTCTTGTCTTTCTAAAATCATTTTTCACTGTTTTATTGCAGCAAGTTCATGTTTTCAATAATGCATTACACAATACCCACTTATGGACTGACTTGGCTAATCTGAACTTGACTTCTACTATTATAGAGAAATTGCGTTTGAATTTTTATCTGCCTCTTCATGCCTTGCTGAGCAAACCATGGTCAAAGTTTTGTCTGCCAAGACAATGGCATGAGTTCTATGACATGCATTGAAGGAATGAAGAAAATGTTGGCAAAAAAACAGTCATTTTCATCCTGTCTCTTACAACTCAAAACATATAAGTATTGATTTAACACTAATATAATAGCCAGGCAAGTAATTAAATCCAGTGTAAAACATGTGTTGAGCTAAAAAGAAAGTAGTTTTCTTAAAAAGACTTAAGTGGACATGAATCCCTGGTACTTACATTTATTGGTATTCAACACCATCTAGTGGTCAAAAAGGGATACCGCTAGTCAATGCAGAACAGGAAAGCTTGTTCCATAAAATAAAGCCAATTTATGAATTCTGAGTGAGCTGGAAGTAAGATATAACAGAGAATGGACATATAAGGCTTTGCTAGTTTAAAAAAACAGCATCACCAAAAGATATAACACAAAAATATCAAGACAAAAAAGTTTTTTTTTTCCAGAATTTTATTCCTTAAATTATTTTATAAAAACTCATTTATGTTTCAATATAGATATATAGTTGTTTTTTCACCGATTAACAATTTTGGCTATTTTCCCTTTCCACCCCCATACTGTTCATAAGGTCCATATCACTTCACATAGACATTGTGCAGTGATCCTCAGTGTCAAGGTAAGAGGGGGGTGGAGGGAAGGAGACAGTGGTTGAGGGTACAAAGGTATAGGACTGGGCCTTGTACAGAGCATGCCAAGAAAGGGGCTGGGGTAAAGGGAATGGAAAAGGGGCTGCCTAACTACACAACCACTTAACGTCAGTAAGATAACCACACAAAGAGGTAAAGGGAGTATTGACTTCCACAATGACTGGAGTGTGTCTGATGTGGGTTAAACCAATCATGTTCAAATGGCTCAATGTATTCCATGACACAAAATAAAAATAGCTCTGTTGTTTTTCCAATGTCAGTACTTTTACACTGATTAATGAAAAGTAAGCTCAACATCAGATATTTAGCCATGACAAGTCAGTTGTTCACTAAAAGATTAAAACAGTGTCCACAAACTTAGTAGCAGCCCTGAAGACTGTTTAGCCCTTTGTAGTGACCCACACAAATGATCAGTTTACCGATCAGAGTCAAATCCACATCCCATAGTGTGCAAGTAGGTATCTATGATTATTCCCTTTCAGAGCTTGTTCAAAGGCCAACATCTACAAACACAAGGCTAAACTTCAGCAAAACCACCGTTTATCTTACATAAACTGTACAGCAGGGCAAGCAACAAGATTTAGTTTTCTACTCCAATAAGATATTTGTTCTTCATTTGGCAAATATGATCACTCTTGCAACATGGCTCAATACTTCTGAAAGTCTTCTTTGTTGCTGGTATGATTTACATTACTGGAGTTAATGGAGTAACCAAATTACAACAATGATAAATATTCAAACAACTCAAAAAGGCTTCATTAGAAGAAAATAATCAATTGCACCTCTCCCCTTAGACGCAAGTCTTTTGTGATACCCAAGTCATTCAAGGTTGACCATAGAGAATCTTTCAAAGCTACATCCTATGATAAAAAAAATCCCTTCTTAAGGTTGTTCAATATGATAAAAAAAAAAAAAGAAAAGCACAGAACTCAGCTTTTGAGGGAGGGAATGAACTCAAGTTTAGGATCAGACATCGCTCCCTGGAACCAAACATGTGTTTAGATATCAACTTCAAGCAATACAAAATTTGCAGTTTGACTTCCTGTCAAAAACATAGTAATGACGAACATGTGAGCACATAGTGTATTGAGTGTGGCTTGCTGCATAATTCTGTAAATATGCATGTTGTGATATGGTTGTGTTTGGTTAAACCAATGCTTGAGTAAAATATTGAATTGCTCTCAATGCCTTCCTTAGCTGTCAAGGAGTTGTGTGTATGTTAAGTCCATGAAGCCTTGCCAAACCATATTAAGTTTAACCACAGGCTTGTTTATCTAAGAACATTGTAAGTGGCATCACTTCTTTCTTGAAATACTCAATGATAAGACAGCTGAATTAGCTTAAGGCATTTAGAGGTTATTCCTGGCAGAACATGAAGGCAGCAATAACCTTAACGGTCTGTCAAAATAACCCAGAGTTTAACTTTTTTTTTTTTTCAAGAAATGTGATTTGAAATTAGCCCTTAGTGTCTCTCAACTGCAATATACTTCATTTATTATCCTTTGTATAAAGCACTAAAGCCTAATCACTAAAGGTAGCCTTAAATTTGATGTCTAATTTTACATGGCAGCAGAGTATATTTACATATGAAGGCTTTGTTTTTAAAGATACCAAGGAATTAGTTGAATGGAATTTCAACAGCCAAGGGCAACAGGTTGCGTAACAGCACTTGTATTAGCATCATGCACCAAATCACCCCAAATCATGGGCCTTAGAAAGTGTATAGATGATGATAGATTTAGCAAGTTTTAAAACATTAAATGCTATCTTCTTTTTTATATATATATAAAAAGGCGTTAATTCAACTCTCTGTTCATTTTTGAACTGAGTGTGATATATCATCATCAGAGTTATATATCATCTGCAAGATGTTAGAGTTAAGTTTATTTATGTTGTCCATTGGGGACTATGAGAGACAACGTTCAGTACAATGCAATCCACTACATAACCATCAGTAACCTTCTTGATAGTTTCATCAAAAGTTTTACAGTTTAAGCTCAACAAAGATTGTTGTGAGGCTATTGGATGAATTACATTACGTTCACAGTAGTTCCTGTTTTTTTTTTTTAAAGTCCAGCACCAACATTTACAGAAACTGCAAATGCCCAAACATAGAAAACCTTTTGCTATTTTTCAGATAACAAAGCCAGGATTTTGTTAAGGAATAAATAAACTCTGCTAACCTTTAAATGTGAGTCATTTATCTGACAATAACGCAATTTATTTGTTGGCGATAAAAGAAAAGGAGTGTGGTTTTTTTTCAAAGTGTTTTCAGAGCTTCTTTGAACCCACAATATCGAACTGGATGTTTAAGCTTAAGCCATTTGAGGTAGACAGAAATCATGTCAGAGTTTACACTTTCACACTGTCTAAAACCCAACCAATAGGCTCATAGGTCAAAGAGCAGTAATCTTCCATTTTTGAGTTATCAGCATGAGACTTCCAGAAACTCCACCTGAGACTGACATGGAACCGCATGATCTGGGAAAGGTGCACTATTACATCATGAACGATGGTAGCTGAAAGAGTGTAATGAAAGGGGAAAGAGTGGGGGGGGGGCTTCAAACTGACACAATGCAACAGGCTTTTGATCAGAAAGAAGTCAAACCCAAAAATCTTCACTGTCTCTAGCCAACAGCAGGATTTCAATCTCAACCAGAAAAACCAGTAACAATTTAGGGTTAATTTACAAGGCATAATCTTTAAAATAGAATATATGGCAAATGACCATAGTCTCAGTATGTCCCTTAAAGATATCTCCCACCCCAAGCCCACTGACACAAGGCTATAAGTCATACATCCCAATGACAGACCTCATGCCGAGATAACAGTCTCACATTGTTCTAGAGAATAGAGATCAAAAATATATACTATTGACTTATTGACTTCCAGTGTATTTTTTCTTTTTTTCCCTACTATTCTTCAAGTTTAAAAAGATCTCCTTTTTCACAATGCAAGCGTAGAGCTCTTTTCTACACACACTCAAATCCACACTATCATTCTCTCACACACTCACACATATACTGTATATATCTATATATATCTATTTATATTTATATACTAGAAGAGTTGTTAGCTGAGGAGGCAAAGTATATATGTCAATTGGACGGAATTCATTAAAAATTAGAAAGATTTAAACTCTTTTCTCCAGTTTCCCTTTTGAGGACAGAATTTGAGGAATTTGGGAAGCGCTAGAACATCACATGACTACTCAAGAGCAGGTAGCAAGAAAAAAGGAAGAAGAAATTGATAAAAGGCCTGAACTTGTACAAGGTAAAGAGATGGGCGGACGATATGGCTCTCTGTGGCATGTGCATTCCAAGGCCAATCTGACAGCCGGAGAAAAATGTACAAAGTTCAAGAGAGATTTAGAGAGCAAAAGACCATCAGATAACAGGGAAAGGTAGTGAATAAGCTGTTAAACAGGAACGGAGCTAAAGCAATTGTGCAAGACTATGCAGCAGGGTTGAGAAAGGGGACTACAAGGGAGAAACAAATATTCCATCTTCCAGATTTATCGGTACACCAGGTGAGATATGGTGCCAGATTTAAAGTTGAGCTGATGGTTGGGAACAAAGCTGTGCTGGGGATTCTTTCGTGTGCACATATCCTTTGCGTACAAACCCATGCATGAGTCACATGACACCTTAGAGCAATTCACACATGTGTGTGATGCACTTGGCTTGTTGCAGAACCCGCATCGCGATCCCCCCAAGCTTATTCGCTCACTGCTGCCTCCCTTTGGCGTTGTCAAGGCAACTGACTTGCTCGGAAACAGCTTCGTGGACATGAGGGGTTTCTCCACCATCTGGGGGTGAGGGTGGGGGTGAGAGTGTGAGTGTGTCAGTGTGAGGGGGTGTGGATGGAGAAGGGCATGGGAGTGTGTATTGGAGTAGACAGAGAGCTTTTCTTTGACAGGAATGTATCCATCAAGGGGTCGTGAGGATTTTGGGTGGTACTCCTGTAGGCCGCAGCAAGGGGAGGGATCCACATCATGACAGGAAGAACAGAGGATCATGTCACATCTCTGGCAGGAGGCCATAGAGGAGCAGCCGATGCCACAGCCCTGACACTTCACACTACCATGAGCTTTGAGCAACCACGCCTCCCTTGAATCCCGAGGCTCTCTCGATGGAGGTCGAGAAGGGATCTGTCTTCCTCCTGTCCCAGTTCCACCCCTCTCAGTGTACAAGTCAATTTCATCCAAGGAGGACAGGTGGTAGGAGGTGTAAGCATCAGCCGGAGGAGGGGACTGAATAGGAAAGAAATCCGCAACAGGGCTATAGGAAGGTGGAGCTGCCACAGAGAAGAGCGATGCTGAAGTGCAGGGCCTGATGATCTCATCCTTCATATCCTCTTCTGCATCAACAAACAGAGGCTCCTTTCTCAGACTCAATGAGGCCTTCAAAACAGGCTTGCTTACAGCTGGGTGCCAGTGACCAGCCCCATCTGTGACATCCACAGATTTAGATGGCCGACTACCTCGCCTCAGGTGGTGGGCATGAGGCCTCTCTATATCCAGTGGCCGCACAGACAGGCGAGCCATATCAGCCCCAAGGCTGTCGCGTCTACGGAGGGCCTCTGCACAGCCGGCTGCGTCATCCCTGCAACCTCTGCGCAGTTCCAGCGCTTCCATCTCTGAGGCCGAACCTCGGGCCAGAGCCACTACCTCTCCCAGGAGACGACACTCTGCTTGGGCCAGGAAAAGCTCAAACGCCAACTGACGGAGATGATTTGTGCCACCTGGGTGCTCCTGCAAATGAAACTGTGAATCGTAGTCACAGGCGTAGCCAATAGTACGCATTAGAGCTCGGAGTTCAGCATCAGTAATGGCAGACTGCAGATGATACACGTATGGGCCAGTGAAGGTCTAAAAGAGAAAAGGGTTCATCAGCATTAGTGTCAGTGATTACAAACAGCTATTTTAAACCATTAAACACCTAATTTACAATTCTAAAAGATAAAGTTCAGAGTATATAATTGCGTTTACTTGCATTATAGAAACTTACAGCATTGCAAAAAATAAAAATTTAAAAATTTCACAAACTCTTTTATGAATTTAATTAGGTCCTCTGGGACTCAAATAATACTTTGTAAAGTAAATTTTGTAAAACAGTAAATGGAATGGTTCATTTGTATGGTGAATACTTCTTGGTTTGTAATATTAATTGTTGGCTTATTCTATATTAACAAACTTTTAAATATTGAAGTATTAGTTCACCTTTATACACCTGAACTCCTTCTTCCAGGGGAACAGCAAGAGATTGGTGCAGATAGTTTCCAACGTGCGAAAAGCTCTTTCCAGACCCCTTAAGTTTCCTCCTCTCTGGTAACGGAGAGAACTCTCAACCACTTCATAGAAACGCACCATTCGAAATCGTTGTCCTGGATCAGGCTGGTAGGCCCCTAGCAGGGCAGTGGCCGTGGAGAGTAGGGCCTCACTGTCCTTGTATCGCCCTCTGTCCCCTTCTGGTGCATTTCCTTTCCTTGTGTATTCCCCTCCACCCTCCAGACGCCTCTCCAGTGCAGTCACATACCTCCGAAACAGGTCCTCTTTTAATTTGGCATCCATTATCAACAGCAGACTATCAGTCAGCTGTTATACTTTTCTGAGAGAGCCGCACCCCTTTTCGCATACCCTGCTCCTTGGTGCCACATTCAAGCATCATTTTTGGTCACCATTATCACCATCACTGTACACGCTGGCACACACTCAACATTAATGAGGTTTTGGACAGGTGAATGAGAATTGAGAAAAAGATGCTGACAATTCAGTTAGCGTAGCTAGGCTGCAGCCTGTAGGGATGCGTTCTAACAGGCATCTCTGGTGTCGACTCAAAGCCTTACTTGTTTCCAGACAAACAGGCCTATGTCATGCAAGATGAGGTCAGGAGGAGCTTCTTCTTCACGCCCTGTTAAGAGTTGCAGAGTTGAGTTTATTCCATTCACTGGGTTCAGCTTGTGCAGAGTTCAAGGTCACTCATCTTGAAGAACCCTTTTTCAATGTTGAAATACTTGTTGTCTTCAATCTGTAAAGACACAGAGGAGCTTTGTAAGAATGGGAATTTCACAAATGAATTAAGAAACAAACAAGGATCATATTTATATACCCTGAGTCAGGGATAATGTATACCAAAATAAAATGCAATGTTACTGATCAACATACAGAGAGTTGTTTTTATTTAACAGTGAAGATACAAGGGACAGTGTTCAAAACTACTTGAGTAACAGTGCTGGTGCCCCGAGTTGGGGGGGGGGGGGTGAGGCAAGATAGCGTGGGCTGTTTCATGACGGTAGTTCAGTACATAGCAAGGTTAATTAGTTTCATTATGTTCGCAACCAGGACATAACTAGGATCGGGACTAGCCCTTGCAAGACGTGTGTCTTCAGTCTTATGCGCTCCTATGACTATGTGAGCATGTAATCGTATCGTTGTTACATGCATGTGAACCATTAGTCTGCATTTAGCTTTAGCAACTGGAGTCGTTCATCGACATAGTGGTCGAGGAGGATTTTGTAAACATTTTTGCCCCCCAAAAAAAAAAATCTACTGAGGCTTGGAAGAACCGCAGATGAATGGTCGTCCCAAGGCAGGCTGCCCGGCTACATCCGTTCCCTCGCCTTAGCAAAGCATCCGTTTAGCGACCTAGCAAGCACCATGCCTTTAGCCAACAGATCGCCATGCATTACAAAGACACGTATACAGTTTCATATCAGTCCGCTATGACCAATGAAGCTAATGAGAGAAAAGCCTGTTTTAACGTGACGTCTTCATGAAACTCAAACCTGACAACACCCAATGCTGTCACTGGTATGGGCCCCCAACTGAGTATCAGCTAAGCAGTGAACGCCCATTTCAGCGCAGCTGGGCTAGCACAGAAATTGCTTTAGTTAGCAGGGCGGTCTTCCGCTGGATAGAGATCTTTGGTGGTTTTAGAGTCAAATATCGAAAATAAGACCGTAACCCTGACATGACTCGTGTACAATTGTGTCTAATTCTGCTTCTTAGAAGATACTAAATCGTTTTTTAAAACGGAAACACTGGCAACAGCACACCTTACCTTTTACTAGTGCTAGCTGTGACTACTAGCTACGCCTCCTCAGCTGTTGGAAATTCCCATCATCACAACGCGCATGCGCTTAATTCTGACAGTTCATCAGCATCACGGTCCCACGTGCTGTTGGATGGAGACGCAGCTCTCACTCTCTGATATCACTGTTTGATATGTGTGAGTTAAATACATTTGAAGTACTTTAAAGATATGCGCTTATGCCTGCAGTTTGTGCACATTGAAAATCTTTTTTTTTCTATAAATAAGTAGCCTACATTACATACTGAAAATCTTTTTTTCTATAAATAAGTAGCCTACATTACATACTGAAAATCTTTATATATATATATATATATATATATAAGTAGCCTACATTACATACTGAAAATCTTTTTTTTTCTATAAATAAGTAGCCCACATTGCATACACTTCACATCCAACAACAATATTAACCAGCAACTTGCAACTGCAGTTTTTTGGAGAATGTTTTGGATATATGTAAGGGCTTAAGCAGTCATCCTTTTCTTAGGTGTGAACTACTGTTTACTTTTCTGTCAGTGTACGTTTCCTTATTCAAACATTAAACAGTAGATGCAAATTGAAACACTGAGAATCAGCTTGTCTCACATTTTGTAGAACATTCTCCTGTCCCTGGTTTTTCTAATGTGAGGATTATCTCCTTTCCTAGTTGTCACTGTGATGGTTTTTGAAGTATCACTCAGGGCTACTTCTTCTTCTGACATTTAATGGATTAGATATAATCAATTAATCAAAAAACAAGCAGAGGTTTTTTTTTAAATAAATCTTAAATGCAGTCTTAAATCGTTATTTGTGACGATGTATTGTACTTTTTTTTTTTTTAAATCGGGTTTTCCACGCTGTCGGGCGATAGCTCCGCCCATCCTGCATAAAGAAGAAGAACAACCTGATGACGTCGTAACTAGAACGGGTTGTTGGGGGACGGACTCAGTGAAGAAAAGAAATGGCGATGCTCGGAGGTTATGGTGCAGCACAGCACAAGAAAAACGTCTCTGAAGGGACCAGCGACGTGTCAGAATTCGTCTGTCCAGTGTGTCTCGAAATATTTGATAGTCCCGTAACAACACAATGTGGGCATACGTGAGTATTTTGTTATTTCGACCCCCCCCTCCTCCCCTTCGACCCATGTCTACTAGAAGCGATTATTTGGTACGAGGTGTGATTGACGTGAAGAATAACATGTTTTTAATGTCGCATGAGGAATGTAATGCGTTTGGCTAAATTGGCTATGGCATTGTAATAGTGTTTGTTCGCTTGAATATTTGGCAAAAGAAGCACCAGCTTGCTGAATCAGTTTCAGTTTTGTTTACATCAAAGAAGAGGCCTGGTCTGGGAGTTGTAGTTCAGAACTGCATTGTAACGAGTCCTCTAACCGGTTGAAATGACTACAAGTCCCTGCGGCTCCTTTGAGGTTGGGACTTCCCGTCGGATTTACAAGAAGCTCCACTTAAGCTTTACAGGGGTCTTCCAGCAAATAACAGCTGATTTCTTCTCGTTCGTCTATTGCAGATCTATAAATAGTATGTATTCCTGTCAACAGAGGCCAAACTTGATGAGTGATAGCAGTTTCACTGATTTGCTTCCTTTCATTTTCCCCTTACCCATCTCTCCTCAGGTTCTGCCAGAGTTGTTTGCAGGAGTGTTTGCGTCCACAGAAGCCTGTTTGTGCTGTGTGTCGGGCAGGACTGGGTCACTGGACTAAAGCTGCAGATCTCGAGGCTGTCATCCAATCATCTGTGGCATCTTGCAAAGGGTGTGGAGCTCAGGTATGCTTTAATGCTGGACTAAATCAAACAAAACCAAAACTATCTTTGCTTACTCGTAAAGCAAGTCTACAGTTAAGTGTTTTTCTGTGCCTTAGTACTTTCTTATGAATGATTTTGCTCTGTGAAGGTTGGCCTGTCTCAGATGAGAGGACACACAGCTTCCTGTTCTAAATACCAAGAGTACATTGAGGAGGGAGTGAGGACTACTGCCCAGAGCCAGCCTGCAATCATCAGGTAAACACCTGTGCCTGAAATCACTTTATTATTACATATTAACTATTATACACATAGCTGCTCAATTATTTACTTATTTGTGAGGTCACTGTGCTCCTGATGGATTAACGATGGGTCTTTGTAACATAACGATGAGCAAGTGTCTCTTTTTACATTCGGAGTTTTGTTGTTTGGGAGAGTGTATAAAAAGTGAAGATGAAGATTATTGAAGGATGAGAGAAGTGGAGGGAGGGGAAGATGATGGTTGATGATTATAACATTATAATCAGGACGGTGTCATTTAATATCGTGCTGCATATTGCTCAAAGTGATTTCAGTTTACAGCTCTCTCTCCTCTCGCTTAATGCTTCCACTGATGGGAGTAAGTTACTATGGTTACCGGGCTGTGTCTGTCAACCTTTGACCAGACCCCACTTCTAATAAAGATTTACAAACCCATCTAAGGTTCCCTGCAATACATTTAATATCCTCTCATTAGGAAGACGTGATACTAATGTATTATACCAAATGGTTAATGTGTGTGGATGTACATCAAGCCAAACATGAGGGATTGAAAGGCGTTCTGCATGACACTGAGCTTTGTTTTGCCTTTTAAACAGACATGGAGCTAACACACAGAATGTTTAGCGTTGGGTCCATTTCTGTTGTAATGTCAAGAAATGTCTTAATGGACATGACAGCGTTAAATGATATGGGCCCACTTGGTTTTGTTGCAGAGCATGTATCATCATATTTCCTCCGTATTTGAGGAGTCACATGTCATTTATTTTCGCGTTTCGCGTGATCTCTCTGATCTTGTAATTTTTTTGGTGTTCTACAAAACTTTGCGCCAGATCTCTTCATCAACCTATAAAAACCAAATTCCTTTTCCCAGCTTTGTTTCATAGTTGTTGTAGTCTTTCAATCATAAGCAGCTGTTCATATACTGTTTATTAGTCATCACTTAGTACGTTTTGTTGCTTTCAAAATAAAATAATCAATAACATCTTTATTCCACTTTAAATTATGAGGTGGCGTTCAGATAACTCCTGATTTGTAGGTCATAATAAAAGTGTGCATGAGGAAGATGAAACTCTTCTTGTAACTGTTGGAAGGACTTAAATGTCATATCATGGATTTTTTGAATTGCAGCTGCCTTCCATTCTCTGAACCCCACATCAGAACAACAAGTACATTCAAAGTCAGGCACCACACGTGTCATTCTGTGGGAAACACTGCCTATCATAACTATTTTTCCAATACAGTTGAAAAACAAATTTGTTTGTAGAAAAAATTATATACAAATTGTTTTCCTGTTTTTTTTTTTCTTCATTCCTACTAGTCCGGTGCCAAATCGCTACACTTTCACCTGCCCATATTGCAACTGCCAGAACCTTGACCAGGACGGCCTGGTTGAGCATTGCACTTCCCAACATGCTCGAGATACACGCCTAGTGGTAGGAAATCCACCCAGCACCATGACTGCAAAAAGTCTTGTCTTAAAAAAATATGGACCCAAGCATTCTGATTAATCTTGGGTTAGTTTTTTTTTTTGGAGGTGGTTTAATAAGACTTACTCTGTTTCTGTTCAGGTATGTCCCATCTGTGCCTCAATGCCTTGGGGGGACCCTAACTACAGGAGCGCTGACTTTTTCCAGCACCTGAAAATCCGACACACCTTCTCCTATGATACATTTGTCGTAAGTTGAAGTTAGCTCTCTTTTTTCAGAATCTGTTTGTTTTTTGCTTTAAAAAAGAAAAATCTGAGATGATGGTATGATTTTTGGTGTTGTTTTAATTTGTAGTCTGAGTAGCAACTTCAGCAAGTATTTGAGCTTTCATTGGCTGTATACAGGAAAACTGTCGTTGTGGAGAGGTAAGGAGTTTGAACCCATCAGCCGTGACTAAATACAGGATCTTTTTGGCCATGACAATTTAACCTTTCTAAACTTCTATAAACAGACATCCTCTTACAAGCGCAACCGTCAATCTGCTCTTTGATTTCGTCTCTCATCTCCAACTCTATTCTCAGCTCTGAAGTTGCTAGTCAGACTGTAATCAATGGCAATGCACAGTAAAGGACGTTATGGCTGGAAGGCCGTTATTGCTAACCACTGCTTTCACCTGAAGCCATGACTAGTTGGCCTTTGCCGCCCATTAGGCTTGGGCTAAATACCCTGGTATACCGTGATACTGCCCAATCCTATCTCCCATCCTCCTCTAAGGAAAGCTGAAAGGTTCTGAGATTGGTCAAAGCTTAAATAGAATCTGAAGTTTCCTTTTTGTGTCTTGTTCATGATCAGTTTTTTCCATCCATGTCTTTACAGGATTATTCGACAGATGAGAACACAATGATTCAGGAGGCTCTACAGCGCTCCCTATTGGACAACTGATGTGTGAAAAACAAATCCACCAGACGAGGAATCCAACAACGTGAAGGGGAAGTGTTGGTGTGAAGTCTTAAAAAGACAAAACAACACACTGTATCAAATACTTATTATCAGGATGGTGATGCTCTTTATGGGTGATAAGTTTCACAGGGAGTTGGTCATGTATCTATGAATCTAAAGGTTAATATTCAACATATAAATCACACAATATGGTTGCTAAACACATATTGTACTGTCTGATTTAGGAGGGAAACAGTGTTTTGGATATGAAAACCGTGTATCCTCCCCTTGTTAAGTTGAGCCTGTAGACTTAGAGTTTGAATATCTAATAAACTTTGTTTGTTAAAGCAGTTTGCTCATTGATGACACGGTGTCATATAGCCAAACACTTCCAAAGTTGTAAAAGAAATTCTCCTGTTATCAGTACTTAATGTTGTAAAGGGGTTCAACCACTAGGTGGCTGACTGTCACCAGCAAACAACAGACTTCACTGTTTGAGGTTGTCAAGTAATATTAACAGTAATATATGATAATCAAGTTCAGAGTGACTCTGCATGTTTCACTCTTAAAAGAAAGGGTGTTCTTGTTTCTTTTTAGCAGATGGAAGCTCTGTTTTTTTTATGCTGTTTGTGTGAGAGAGTGTGTGATCAGTCTTTTTTC